CTGTCCTACACAACATGGAGTCACCCAGGACAGGTACAGCCTGAGGATTGCTGTTCTACACTCCATGGAGTCACCAGGGCAGGCACAGCCTGAGGACTGCTGTCCTACACACCATGGAGTCACCAGGGCAGGCACAGCCTGAGGCCTGCTGTTCCAAACACCATGAAGTCACTAGGGCAGGCACAGCCTGAGGACTGCTGTCCTACACACCATGGAGTCACTAGGGCAGGCACAGCCTGAGGATTGCTGTCCTACACACCATGGAGTCACCAGGGCAGGCGCAGCCTGAGGACTGCTGTCCTACACACCATGGAGTCACTAGGGCAGGCACAGCCTGAGGCCTGCTGTTCCAAACACCATGAAGTCACTAGGGCAGGCACAGCCTGACGTCTGCTGTCCTACACACCATAGAGTCACCCAGGGCAGGCGCAGCCGGAGGATTGCTCTTCTACACACCATGGAGTCACCAGGGCAGGCGCAGCCTGAGGATTGCTGTCCTACACACCACGGAGTCACCAGGGCAGGCACAGCCTGAGGACTGCTGTTCTACACACCACGGAGTCACTAGGGCAGGCACAGCCTGAGGCCTGCTGTTCCACTCACCATGGAGTCACCAGGGCAGGCACAGCCTGAGGACTGCTGTTCTACACACCATGGAGTCACTAGGGCAGGTACAGCCTGAGGACTGCTGTTATACACACTGTGGAGTCACTAGGGCAGGCACAGCCTGAGGACTGCTGTCCTACACACCATGGAGTCACCAGGGCAGGCGCAGCCTGAGGACTGCTGTTCTACACACCATGGAGTCACTAGGGCAGGCGCAGCCTGAGGACTGCTGTTCCACTCACCATGGAGTCACCAGGGCAGGCACAGCCTGAGGACTGCTGTCCTACACACCATGGAGTCACTCAGGGCAGGCGCAGCCTGAGGACTGCTGTTCTACACACCATGGAGTCACTCAGGGCAGGCGCAGCCTGAGGACTGCTGTTCTACACACCATGGAGTCACCGGGGCTGGCGCAGCCTGAGGACTGCTGTTCCACTCATCATGGAGTCATTAGGGCAGGCGCAGTCTGAGGACCGCTGTTCCACTCATCATGGAGTCATTAGGACAGGCGCAGCCTGAGGACCGCCGTCGTATACATCATAAAGACAAGGTGGGCTCAGTCCACTCTTCACAGTCTGTTAGGCAGCCTGGGTGCCTAGGTGGGCGGCTCAGCAATGCTTACAACTCCTGGAAGTGGCAGGGAAGAGGCCTGGAGGGTGCAGGGCCTGCAGTCTACCCAGCCTGCACCAAGCCCCAGGCAAGCCTTCCCTCACCCCCGAGCACCCTCTTCCTGGTTTCATGGTTCTACAGGCTTTTTACAACAGTTTGCAAAGTGTAAAAGAGGAGGCCAGCAGGGCAGGAAACTGACCCTTCCCGTCCGGCAGGAAAGACACTCCAGTGGCTCAGCCCAGAGCACGAGGTGAGCCTGGTGCACACAGCCAGGTTGCAAAGACAGGCCTGTGGGCTGGGGCAGTAGCCTCGTGGCAGACGCTTGCCTAGCATGTGTGAAGCACTGGATTCAATACTCAGTACCACATAAAAATAAGTAAATGAAGGCATGTGTCCACCTACAACACCTTGGTGAGTCTGGATACTCCACCTCCCTCACCTGGCCCTTCCCTGCGCACCTGCCTCGTGGAGCCATGCACTGGACAAGGATATGCCCTCTTGGGGCCCCTGATCACCATCTGCTTGAACTAGCCACTCAGCCTTGAAGCTGTTAGGGTCCCTGTGAGACCCTGAGACCCTCTGCTCTTAGATGCCCTGGACATCTGTCCCTGCAGGGAGTCAAGACAAAGTGTGCCTGGAGACCAGGTAGCTCCCATGGGAGACAGACATCTCCCATGCCCAGGTGCTGGTTGGCAGGCCTGGCTGGGGCAGTTGGACCCAGGGGAAGGGCATGGATAGCACACTGTCCAGGTAGCTCCAGAGTCATAAGAGGGCCTGGCTGCACATTCCAGGGATGGTCCTGAGGGCAGGGGAGGACACAGGC